ACACTTACGACTGTTGCAGCATCCCCACAGTCATGAAAGGCCAGGTGTGAGAAGATGCGTGCCTCGATGTGAGTGATGTTGAGTTGGCCACACCCAGCCAATCACATGACCGCCAAGCCACGTCCACCCAGTCACATGACTGCCAAGTCACGCCCACCAACTAAGCCACGCCCACAGAACCGGTGGTTAAAAAATGTGAATCCCACCTGCACCCAGCGGGTTTTCGGCTTTCTGTGGGAAACGGGTCCAAATGACTGGGCATTTAAGGCTGCAGAAACAGGCAGCCAAGCTAAGTGCCTGAAGGACCCCATCCTTTGGGAGTCCAGGCGCTTCCGCAAGCGGCATTCTGGGTTCCTATTAGTGGTCCGCGGGATTTGAAATTAGGAGTTTGGTGGTCCCTGAGGTCCAAAAGCTTGGCGCCCCCTGCCCTAACCCTCCCCCTGCCGCCGCCGCCTTTCGCCCTACAGGTAAGTCCACCCCTCCCCTAACTCACCTGCCTTGCCTCTCAAAGCCTCCAGCCCGGGTTTCAACATCCGCTCAAAAGATCACCTGGAGGTCTACGTCTCGGCTTCGGAGAATCCCAGCCACTTCTGGATCCAGATTATCAACACAAAAGCTCTCTCCCTAGACGAACTCATCCGGGACATGACCCAGTACTACGAGACCGACAATGGCAAGGTGAGGGCCGACACGGGAAGGCTGTGTAATTTTTTTTTTCCCCCAAATATTTTTTATAGTTTAGTTTACTTCGTTGTCTTTGCACCTTGTACAACGAAATTAAATACCGTCTTCGGTGTACATTATGACTACGAAAACAAACACCAACACACGTCCTTCGCATTCTACGCATTGAATCGAAAACCTTCTGATATTGCATTAATATTGCATTATGCAGTAGAATTCAATAGAGCGACTGCCCTGGGATAGAAGCTGTTTTTCATCCCATTTGTCCTTGTTTTTATTCTCCTGTATTGTCTGCCAGATGGTAATAGTTTTAAAAAAAGGGTATCCAGGATGAAATGGATCTTTAAAGATGTTTTATACTTTCTTAAGGCGGTGAATGTACCGTGCATGATAGTATGTGCCCCTTTCTTGCTGACATTTCCGATAATAAATGTTATACATACAATAGTTAGAACTATCGTTCTCAATATCTACTCAGGCTGTGTAGCTTTCCATCCTGCCACTCCATACACACACACACACCCAGGCATTTACCCCTATCTTCTCTCTCTCTCTCCTCCAGCTGGAAAGCGTGCAGGTGGGGGACATTGTAGCCGCCTACTACCCCGAAGACCATTACTGGTATCGGGCCAAGATCCTGGGAACCATGGACAACGGCAACCTGGATATTTATTACGTGGATTTCGGGGACACCGGGGAGGCGCCTCTGGAGAAGCTGCGGCTGTTGCGGTGAGAGGGCGGACCGGGGGTGTCGTCCCTCCATCTTGGGGATCGGGAAATTGGGGTCCTGGATTCTCGGTGGTCGTGGCCGTGAGCAAGAAGTTGGGAGTTTGTCGGGGCTTGACAGTCTTGGAGAGGACGTCAGCTGGGCTCGTCCCGCTGGAGCAAACCGCCGTTCGCCAGGGCAGTGTCAACTCGTAAAATATTTCTAGGGTATTTTTCGAGTTGGCAACAGAAAGAGGGGGGGAAAGGGGTTTGAAAGAGCAGTGCAGCAGCTTGGAAACCGAAAACGAGGGGATACGGCAACGTGCACGTATTCCTCGACTTGCAACTGCTCGCTTAAGTGGCCAAAGTTAACCGCGGCGCTGAAAAAAAAAATTTTTTTTCCACGCTTAATGACTGGCTGCAGCCTTCCCCTGGTCAGCTGATCAAAGTGGTTCGCATTTATGATGGTTGCGGTGTCGCCGGGGTCCTGTGGCCGCCTTTTGCGACCTCCTGACAATTGGGGGCGGGGGGGGGAACCCAGATTTACTTAATAAACATGTAACTAGCTTCACAACCTCAGAGGTTCACTGAGCAACTGCAGCAAGAAAGTTCGTCGGTTTGGGGCGGGTGGAATATTGGGACGAGAACTATTGGGGTGGGGTGGCCAGGATTGGCCTCTCCTCCTGCTCCTCCTCTTAACCTCCTTTCCCCCCCCCCCTTTTTGGGGGGGTTGTTTTTTTTTTGTGGGGGCGAAGGGGTGATTTCCTAAGCCTCCCTTTCCAGGCCATCGAGTGCAGCTTGGCCGGCGTGGCCCCAACTGGTGAGTCACTCCATCTTCTTCCTTTCTGGGGGATTCTGGGAGCCGTTCCCAAGGGTGGCGGGAACCTTTGACGGAAGCTTAATCCCGCATTCAACGTCCGGCCTCCGACTTCCTGCAAATAGGGCCACATTGGGAAGAGGCTGCCCTGGATGAATTCGACCGCCTGACCCACTGCGCCCAGTGGAAATTGCTGTTCTGCAAGGTCTGCACCTATGTGTCCGTGGGGGACAGCGTGCGTCCCTGCGTCCGGCTGTTCAAGCCCACCGACGGGCAGGTGAGGGACCAATCCTGGCTTAAGGGGAAAACAGAAACGGCTTTCGGGGGTGAGATTTGGCCCACCCGAGGGCCGGTTTTTTCAGCCCGGAAGCTTCTGTTCCCCCAGTTTGTCGATGTGGGAGAGGAGCTGATCCGGTTGGGCTACGCGGTTCGGAAGCTGCCGGACGAAGATGGGGCGACCTCAAGGGAGCTGCCCAGAAACCTGGTTGGTATTTGGGACACGGATCCGGCTTCTTTTGGGGTAGGCTGGCTATGTGGCTAGTCCCTGTTGCTGTGGATGAGGATAGAATAAGGATGGGGATGGGGAAAGAAAGAAAAGGGAAAAAGAGGAAAGGAAGGGAAGAAGGGAAAAGGAAACGAAAAAGAGGAAAGAAAAGAGAAAAGGAAGGGAAGAAGGAAAGGAGAAAGGAAAAGGGAATGAAAAAGGGAAGGGAAGAAGGAAAGGAGAAAGGAAAAGGGAAGAAGGGAAGGAAAGGAAGGGAGAAAGGAAGAGGAAAGGAAAAAGAAGGAAGGGGAGAGGAAATAAAAGGGCTGGAAGGGTATTCTAGTCCAACCCCCTGCCTGGCAGGAATTCTTTAATAGCAAAAATAAACATGCTCTGCTTTTTGACCTGCAAACTTAAGGAAGGGGCTCCCATTGCAGCAAAAAAAAAAAAGCCAAATATAATAAGGTTTTAAACCTTCTCCTGGTTGGTATTTCTATCTTGAGCTCGGAGGGGCCGCCCTAGGTGACCAATCGTGCAAAGCTCTTGTTTCCTTTTTACTTTTTCAGGATTTTTATTTTATTGAATAGCAAGTTAGAACACAAAACTTCAACAAGTCCCAGAAACAACACACAAAACTTTTTTTTTAAAGTGTGTTTTAAAAAAAAAAACCCAATACATACACACCCATCGTCCTGCCCCCCCCCCCCCCCATTGAATACCGATTAATATATGATTAACCGTGTTGATTCCTGCGCCCTTGCAAATCTGGTCTCTGCTCGTCTCCCTAGGGAAATACTGCAGGGATGTCGACGGACAACCTGTCAGGTACGCGGCAGAATCCCGAGGAGATGCCACTCAGCTTGTCCTACCCCAGCCCTCCCCCCCTGGTTGGGTCAGACAAAAAGGCTCAAACCCCCCCGTCCCCCAAATGAGTGCCGACTTTATTCTCTCTCTAAAAAAATGCAATTGGGAGTTTTTCTTCCAACCCTTTTTTTTTTTTTTTTGCTTTCCCTGCTGGCTATAATAAACCCCTGACCACCTGTGGGATCCTTCTTTCTCTCAGCTCCCCCCAAACCTTTCCCTCCCCTTCCCCCCCCCCTCCACCTACCCAAAATGCCAATCTTTATCTCTTGAATCCCGCAGAAGGTACCTCCGTGTCGGAAGGGGAGGAGAATTTGGTGATGCTATGAGCCTCCCGAAGGAAGGCAGGTGAGGAGTAAAACGTTGGGTGACTGTGCACCAAGAATAAGTTTGGGGAGACCTCGGATTGCTTGGTGTCCCAGCCTTTGGGTCCTTCCGCCTTCTCAATGTGGCCGTGTCCATCTTCCATTTAGTTCGGAAAAATTTAACCCATGATAGCTCGGTCTAAACCAGGTTCCTCGGCTCCAGATTTTGCACCTCAGATCCAATCCCTTTGGAAGGGAGGGGGAGGGTGTTTCTCCCCCACCCCAAGAGCAGATCTTATAACTTCTTAAACATCTTTTTTTTTTTCCTTTCCTTTGCTGCAGATTGAAAGAATTGTTTCTTGGACTGCAGAAAGCCTTTATCGCCATTTCCCTGGGAAGTTGCACAGAAGACGGGAGGGGGGTTGGCTGTGTTTCTGCCACCACCCCAAACTCAAGTTTATGTTCGCGTTGGGTTGTTAAGACCCTGAGTCCATCCCTCGTTTTCTGTACCCTTTTTTTTTCCTTTTTGGGTCCCGCACCTGTCTGGAAAGGTTGGGACAGCCTGTGTTTCTTTGGCCTAAGCCGCAGTGCCTGGCACCCTGTATCGTGGGTCCAAAACTGGAGTGTGGAGATGGGTGGGGTGGTTGTCTAAAAGGACAGGGATAATATAGCGGCAAAGGGAGCGTTTGTTTTTGCAAAGAGTTTGGTTTTGAAAAAGCAAACATGCAAAGCAAACTCTCTCCCTTCACCCCTATAATCCAAAGCGTTAAAACACGAAGGGCAGCGATGAGACGCCTCAAGTTTATATATTTTTGTCTGAAATAAAGGCTGGTGTTTAGCAGTTCCAAAAATACAGAGGTGTGTGGGGGGAGAAGATTTCAGACCAGAGTTGTTGTGGGGGAGAAAGGACGAGGATGCTTGTGGGCCCCGCCGCAAACCGAACCCAATTATTTTGTGTTGGGATGGGACGGGAGATTCGGAGGGGCGCAGGAGGGATACCCTCAATTTACCCCTTCCCTCCCTCCTCGGCCTCAGAAGCTGCTAAGCTTTCATGCCACTTTAATGCCTTTTTTGGGGGGGGAGGTCTCTGAAATCACGCTGCTCCCAATCGGGGGTCTTCCAGCCTCCACAGGCTCCACGAGCGTCATTCCGGCTCTGGTGGGGGTTTCCAGCCGAGATCGCGTTCCAGGGGGTAAGCCATGAAGATGGTGTCTTCCCAGGGGGGCAGGCCAGGGTGGTCGGGGGCTACGAGCTCGAAACCCAAGAAGCCAAAAGCTCGTAGCAAGTCGCCTTAGAAAGAGAAGGGGGGAAGCAGGATTAGTGGGTGCAGAAAGGGAGCCGCTGCTTCCTGGGGTAATTTCCCCTCGGATCCAGTCGGGGTTTATCACTTAAGTTTTGGGCACCTTCTGCTTCTCTTTGCAAGGTGTTGGCCCGCTGAGAAGGTACAGGTAGACAGCAGTTCGTTCAGAGGTGGCTCGACCGTTTTTTCCCAGACTTACGACCGTTGCAGCCTTTCCCCGGCCACATGATCAAAATTCAGGCACTGGGCGACTGATTCGTATTTATGAGACAACTTGTCCCGCTTAGCAACAAATTCGGGGCTGTAAGTGCCTGTGTGTTAACCTTTTTGGGGACCCTCGCCTTCTTCCAATTTCATCCTTAACCAATTCTCCTTTTTCTTTTATCGTTTGGATTAATTATGGGCAGCCCATATATATATTTCTTTCCGAGACTTGGAAATTCGCTCCCAGCCCAAAACCGCCACCAGGATAAAAAGTTCCTCCAAAGCCCCTATTTTTACCTCGGTCTCGCCGAGCCTTACGGAAGTTGACCAGCACTTGCTCTGCGCCTGTTTTTTCTTCGATGTATTCCAGAGTGGCGGTCAAGCTATAGGATCAGGCCAGATGAGACAGTCATAAATTCAAGTTTTCTAATAACACAACACAATCCGGCCAAAGGCCCAGACCGCCCCGATCGAAACCTTCAAGGAATTTTAAACACGGTTTTTGGCTTCACCTTTCCCGGCTGTTGAAATCCAGTGCCAGCCGAGGAGTGTCCAGGAAAAGGGTAGATCCTTGCAGAAGCCCATGCCAGTGGCTGACACCCTGGCTGCCATGGGTGAAGTGGAAATCCAGCTGCACTGGCCGATCGGAGTGTTGATTGTCACTAGCAAAAACGGTGAGGTTGGCAGCCTGTTACAGGAAGGCAGGGGGGAAAAAAATTACACGAAGCACCAGTTTAGGCGATACAGAAGTTAACCGTGAAAACTTGCACACTTGTATATTAAATATTTCCTTTTTAGTCTGGCAGTGTAAAATAGCGGGTTTTTTTTTATTTTTTTCAAGTTGGCAACTTTTTAAGATGGCTGGATTTCAAATCCCATTCTGGGAGTTGAAATCCAGTCATCTGAAAAGTTGGCAAGTTTGAAAAAGCAGGCAGACAAAAAGTCCAGTCGTTTTAAAGTTGGCACATTTGAAAAAGGCTCTTCCCGGTAGGGCTGCATTATTACAGTGCCCATCATGCTCTGCCAATTAGCCACGCTGGCTAGGGAATTGTGGGAGTTGGAAGTCTAGTCCCCTTAAAAAAATGACCAGGTTTGAAAAAGCAGAATTGGAAGTTCAGTCACATTAAAGTTAACCAAGTTTGAAAATGTGTAGTCTTCCCAGTAGGGCTGCAACTATGGTGCTCATCAGCCCCTCCTGCTAGCCAGATTTGGTTTGACACCGGGGTTATTTTTTCCTACCTGGTAGATCTCAGTCGGGTTCAGCCAATCTGCCGGGGCACTGGGACCACGCCGATTGGAACTGGCGCCCTCGAACTCAGGAGCACTGCGGGCAGTAGCGAGGACGGGTGCTCAAAGTTTCCAGGCGGGCAAGGGTTGTTGCCCTGGCAGAAGAGAAGAGGAAAAGTTGACATTTTCCCACCTTTTAAATAAAAACATTCCTTTTACTTAACCCTCCCGAGCTGCAAACGCGAACAAGTTTGCAATCAGCAAAACAAAGGTCTGCAACGTTGGATGCCACGTGCAAAATGCAAGGGCCGAATTTGAAACAGTTTCCCAATTTCTCTGGCCTTTCAGGTGATCTTGGGTTATCCAAGAACAAGCCATGGGTTTGCATCGTGGGGCTGTCTGGCTGGCACGACATTCTTCGTGTGAAATTTTTAGCGGGAAGTTTGTGTTTTTCTTCTGCCAGGAGCATCCCAGGGACCCAAATGAGTTGGTCCTGGGCTATACAGGAAAGGATCTGGGTCTGCCAGGTTTGGCCACCAGGGGTCAGCAAGCCACGATTGTTGGCTTAGCCTCGGGTGAACCAGCTATGACGGGCAGCGGTGCCCAGATGGCGCTGCGGAGGCTCACTCGGTGTTTGAGGGGGTCATGTTTCCTCGAGGGCGAAGTTCAGATGAAGCTCAAAGGGGGGGGGTCCAAGCAGGCTTAGCGTCGCCCCAAAGCAGGCAGCGAGGTCCCTGGACAGTCTCTGGCTCTTGGGTGGCATCTGCCCAGGGATGAGTGGCCCCTGAAGGACAGGGCCTCAAGCCAAGGGCCCCATTGTGACCCGATGAAACTGGCAACCAGAGGCACAACAGACCCCCATTGTGACCACAATGCTAAGCTCCTCCCACTTCTGGCCCCTCCCATGGTGGCTTGTCTACATGCCCCCCCCACCCCGTTCGAAACGGGTTTATGGGGAGGGGTGGCATTGCTTGATGGGTCACCCCATTTGTCACCCCATTTGTAACCACTTGAATGGTTTTCAAAGATTAAAATACATTGGGAGTTGTGGAAAAGAAAACACTCTGTACACGCTCAGAGGCACAGTGTCTTTGGGAAATTGTTTTTATATCGGGAGGAAATGAATCTTTTGTACCATCCCCTCCAAATTAAAGGGTGTTTCCAATCTTTCTCACATTCAGGAGGGAAAGCTCTCTGTGCATGCTCAGAGGTACTGTGTTTCCTTCTGTTTGGCAGGGAGCCAGCCTTCTGTGCATGCCCAAGAGTGCCCTTCACCACCATCCTGTTGCAACTTTGCATTCACGGCAGGGAGGCAGGGGTGCCTTTGCTGGTGACACACAGCCCTCTTCACATGCTCAGAGTCCCCCTTCACTCCCACCCCATTAAAGCTTTGCATCCATGGAGTGGGGAGGCACGCTCCGAGGCAATCCTCCCCGAGACCCCTGCATTGAGAAGCAGCCCACCCGTTCGGGATCCCTCCGGCCCGGCCGAGTCAACAGCCGGGGGCTGTCGTGGTGCCGCCGCCCGCGGGAAGAGGGGTATGTCCAGCAGGCGGCGCTACGCGAGGCCGGGGCTTAGCCGTGGCCTGCTGGGCTTCCGAGCCTGCGCAGTCGTCGGGGGGCGGGGCCTGTGGTGGGAACCATGATGGCGGCGGCGCTGGGCCGCGCGGTGTTGGGGGCACCGGCGGGGTTTCTTCCCCTTCTCCTGCCCAGGGGGCTGAGCCTCTCGGCCCCGCGGGTGAGCTCGGCCGGGCCGGGAGGGGCCCTTCGGGGTCCGGTCTGGCGGGGGAGGGCGGGACAGCCCTGGCGGGGAAGTGGGAAGGAGGGATGGGGGACCACCAGGAGAGAACGCCTGGGGCTGCAGATGAGGAGGGCTGTGGAGGATGGGTGTTGCGATGCTGCCCAGGTCCAAAAGAGCGGGGTAGGTGGCCCGGGAGAGGCTGGGTCGTCTGAATGGGCTTCCTGGACACGGATAAGAGGAAGGAAGGAAGGAAGGAAGAAAAAGGGAGGGAGGGAAGAAGAAAAAAGGAGAGAGAAGGTTGGATGGAAGGAAGAGATGGGTGGATATATAGGGAAGGAAGGAAGGGAAAAAGAGGGAGAGAGGAGGGAGGAAGAAAGGAGATGGGTAGATAAGAAAGAGGAAGAGAAAGGAAAAGCGAGGAAGGAGGGAAGAAAGAAGGAAGAGAAGAAAAGGAAGGGAGAGTTGAAAGAAAGAAGAGGAAGGAGAAGCATGGGAAGGAAAAGGAAAGAGAAAAGGAGAGACATGATTGCATGGGAGGAAGGAGGGAAGAAAGGAGTAAAAATACGGAGCGGGAGGGAAGATGGAAGGAAAGAAGAAAGGAAAGAGGGAGGAGGGAAGGAAGAGAAAGAGAGGAAAAAAGGGAAAGAAAAAAGAAACGCAGTTTGCTAGATTCAGCTGGACTTTGGGGGGGGGGTCCCAGCCAGCCCCACTCCACCTCCTCCATTGCATTCCCCCCCAAACTAGCTAAAACAATCTCGGTTTGTGGCCAAGCCCTTCGCCGACTTCTCTGCCTTGCAGGAGACCGTCGTCGTAGAGCGCTGGTGGAAAGTCCCGCTGAGCAAAAAAGGCTGGGAGCCTCGCATCAAACACCCCCGTTTCCGCGTCTTCCGGCTGGTGGAGGACCTGAAGCACCGGCCCAAAGAGCCCCTCGAACTCATCCTCACTGAACCGGTGGAAGGTACGAGACCCTCCCCACCGTTGACCTCCGCATAGGAGTTTCGCCGCGTTTCAGGGCCTTCCCTGCCGCCGTCGCTAAGTGAAAACCTGCCACTGTTCAGTGAGTAACACGGGCCGTTAAGCGAGCCTGACGTGGTTGCAAAAAAGGGGATCGCACACACGACCCCGGAGACGCTGCAATCGTCATAAATATGAGCCGGCTGCCCATTCTGTCCGCTGAATTTTGACACACTGACACCGTCATAAATGTGGGAAATGGTCATAAGTCGCTTTTTTTTGTTGCCGTTGTAACTTCAAACGGTCATTTAGGGAGTTAAGTTGTAAGTCAAAGACTATCTGTACTGTAAGAATATGTGTATAATTACTATAGAAATTGAATAAGATGATGGGTAATATTGTCTAATAAGACAGGAGAATATTTAAAGAAAAATGAACTAAGCTATAATATGAAATGAGATTGTATAAAAAAGAATAATGAATATAGAAATTGAATAAGAACATGGATAATATTGTTAAGTAATATATGAGATTATTTAAAGAAAAAGGTAATAATATATAAATTTGGATATAAAAGTTAGTATGGAATTAATGGTCACATTTGTATGGAAATGTGAAAACCTGGAACCAGATTGTTCACCTAATGAGATGTTTTATAAAAGATTTTTAAAAAAGGATTATCTGTACATTGGCAAGAGTCAAGGATCTCACACACACACACGCCTGCCTCCAACTTTTCTCCATATCTCGATTTGCAGACGTGGGAAACCGCGGCGAAACCGTCTTGGTCCACCGGTCTTTCGGCCGTAACCATCTCCTCTTCCACAACCGGGCCGTTTACGCCTCACCCGAAAACAAGAAGTTTTTCGAAGAGGAAAACCGAGTAAAGTTTGCGCCGGGCTCTGGGCTCCCCCCTACGCAGCGGGAACAGGAGAGAAAAAAATATCTTGATTCCTTTCTGCATCTGTTTTTTGTTCCATAGTTACGTGAAGAGGGGAAGTTGCCAAGATTACAAAGCCACAGCGGTATGAAGGTATGGAGGCTGGGAAGAATAATTTTTCCCCAAAATATCCTGCAGGAACAGGATAATTGGCAAGAAATTTTCTGAACATTATTGATAAGTGAGCTTCATTTGAAAGCTGAATTGTGAAAGAGAAGCTGCTATCCATCCATCATATCTATCTACCCATCAATCCATCCATCTTTTATTTCTATGTATCCATCCATCTATCATATCTCTGCATCCATTCATCCATCTATATCTATGTATCCATTCATCCATCCATCTTATTTATCTAATCCATCTATCCTATCCATCTATCCCTATCTGTTTGTCTATCTATGTCTGTTGCTCTATCATCTGTCTGTCTGGCTGTCTGTCTGTCTATCTATCTATCTATCTATCTATCTATCTATCTATCTATCTATCT